TCAAGAGCCTCTTGCTCAGAGTGAAAGAGGAGAGCGCAAAAGTTGGCTTGAAACTCAACATCAAAAAAACTAAGATCATGGCATCCGGCTCCATCACTCCTTGGCAAATAGAAGGGGAAGTCATGGAAACAGAAACAGACTTCATGTTCCTGGGATCCAAGATTACTGCAGATGGTGATTGCAGCCATGAAATTAAAAGACGCCTCCTCCTTGGGAGGAAAGCTATGGCGAACCTAGACAGCATAATAAAAAGTAGAGACATCACCCTGCCAACAAAAGTCTGCATAGTCAAAGCGATGGTATTCCCAGTAGTAATGTATGGCTGTGAGAGTTGAACCATAAGGAAGGCTGAGTGCCGAAGAATAGATTCTTTTGAACTATGGTGCTGGAGAAGATTCTTGAGAGTCCCTTGGACTGCAAGGAGATCAAATCAGTCAATCCTAAAGAAAACCAAACCTGACTGTTCCCTGGAATGACAGATACTGAAGCTGAAGCTCAAATACTTTGGCCACCAAATGAGAAGGGACTCAACTGTGCGACTGAACAACAACAAAAATAATAGCAACGTATCTTTAACTTGATACACAAACTGGTTTGGCATAAATAGTGTACTAATTTTATAAGATAATATTGTTACAACTATTGTATTTGCTCACTTAAAATTATTGTATTGTATATAATTTCTTTTAATTTTTAATGTATATTGGTATCACATTTTTAACTGAAAGTCATGGATATGTAATATCTAGTTTTGTGTTATGCTGGTCCATGACTGCAATAGAGAATACTGATACTGATTAATAAAATACAAATTCATTTAAAAGCATTACTGAATTCATAGTAGCTTTTTGTCAATATGTATTTTCTCGATCAATGGATACTAATAGTACAAATACTATCATTCAACAGTCTGCAAAATGTTGTAATGTTAAAAAGGGGTTGTCATGCTCAAAAAGTTTGGGATCTAAAGCTTAAATATATTGTAATGGAATAAACACTGGAGGCTGATGTAAACATACCTAATGCCCAATACTTATATACATGTGTAGGGGAGAAACTCCAGGATTATAGTTCAAATCACTACCACTTTCATTCAGAAGTACAGCACAGCAACAAAGTTCAATGATGTAAAACAGAAAGCAATTAAATAGAGAGGGGTTAAGTAAACTGTTAAGAAGCTTTATATGTCCTGTTAAGTATGCCGTAAATTTCTGATCTAATAATGCTGAAGAAACTGTTCCTATACTTCTCTTTGATACTGTTATATCACAATATGCACCCTGCGCTGAAAAAGCCTAGAGGCCCACTGTCTCTATGGGCATCAATCCCTTACTGACAGGGTTATTTGGACCTCATTAAATGGACATGTAGAAGTGTGTCTGAATCACAACCCATGGAAGAAAGGTCACTTATGTAGTAACTGTAGCTCTTTCAAGATAATTTGCTGTATGGATCCATGCAAAGTGAATGAAGGCTATACAGGCCATTATCTTCAAGAATTACAATTGCTAGATAAGTAACCTTCTTTCTCCTTTGACTATTGCCTGTATAGATTGTTAGCTTGTGGTCATTATCAATTAGCAATAAATTCTAATGGTAGTATGCCTGGAGGATACTAATTGAACAAAGATTGCCAATTTGATCTTTGTAAATGAAGTTCAAGACGTAAACATTAAAAGACCCCAAGAAAGAACAAAACTATTTTGTAGCCAAGGCTTTGCCCTTTGCAAATTGCTTTTATGAAGCGAGCTGGAGGAGATGCTCAGGAAATCTTCTCATAACAAGTAACAATCTAACATATAAGCTTAGAAAGACAGGATCTCACAAAGTATATTGTTTATTAACAGCCTTTTCTTTTACTAACAGTATTTTAACAAGGAATGATCTCCTAACCTTGGGTTTTTATCTTAGTGTGGGTTATCTTTTCTTTCTCCCTTAACTGTAGTCCCCCTATTCCCAATTTTTCTTGGTAGTTTATGTAGTATTATAAAAAAAATAAAAAATCCCCTCCGAGGGTTTAAAAAAAAACTATTTTGTAGCCCTTGAATAATTTAAAGAATTACAGGGGACTTCTATGCACTCAAATGTACTCCTTTTACTTGACAAATGGTCAGCATATAACTACATATGTCAAATCTGAATACTCTGGAATTCAGGACCATTCTCTTGGCATGGTGCTCATATAAATAGAGTCATAAACATATGCTGTGAATATAAAGTGCTGAGAAAACTGTGAAAGAAGGTATGACTGATGAGAATACATGAAGAATACTGGAAATAATCCTAGGTTATTTGTCCCAGCAGAGAGCTGGCATGTGGAAAGGAAAGAAATGCATGTGGGTGGTTAAAAAAAAAAGTTTGACTACCATTTCAGGAACCAGAAAAGGAAAGAATTATGTTATTAACTTTCATGGCACTTTCTGATGCCTTTTTATTGCAAAATGCCTCACTTTTTCTGTATTTATTGCATTTCAAAGTTTAATTTATTACAAAAATAATTTGATCCCTCCCCATTCTTTCACTCTACCTTCTAACATACTGCTAATGCACAGAACATTTGGACTATCCATCGGAAGCAGGGCTGAAGGCAATGGTAAGCCACATCTTCCTTCCACCAGGTATACAAATTCCCCAATCTGCAACACAGGAACATATGCATTTCAATTTTGAAGGCAATCCATGCAGAACAAATTAGAAGCTTCTCAGACTATAAACAAACAAAAATCTAATATACTAACACTCATAAGAATATTTCTTGCACTTGGAAGTGTTTATTTTAAAGCATCTTAAATAAAGTACAATGCATATACTATGTAAAATAACTACAGTAATGTAACTTGGGAGGGGGGGAGAAAAACACATTTATGCACTGAAGAATCTCATTGCCATTAACTCATGTGCCCTTTAGCTAGTACTGCAGATTTTTCTGAGAATTCTCCCCATAGGCAGTTGGTTCCCTTCCTCAAACTCAACGACTTGGCAACAGTGATCCACACGATGGTCATCTTGAGGTTACTGTGATGGGGCTGCCCTTGTCTCAAATCCGGAAGCTGAAGCTAGTGCAAAATGCTGTGGCCAGGCTGTTGATGGGTCTCTTTATATGGGAATACATCCAGCCTGTGTTGAAAGCACTGCACTGGCTGCCAATAGCATACCAGATTCGCTTCAAGGTGCTGGTTTTGAACTTTAAAGCCCTCTATGGTCAGGGTCTGGCATACCTAAGGAACCGCCTTTCCCCATATGTTCCCCAGAGAGCACTGCCTTCCAGGTCCCAAAGACACCAGGTTAGTGATAACCAGGGTCAGGGCCTTCTCAGTGGTGTCTCCGTACTGGCGGAATGAGCTCCCAGAAGAGATCAGGGCCTTGCAGGACCTCTTACAGTTCCACAGTTCCACATTAGAACACTTGATTATTCAGAAATTTGCTTGGCTCCATTTGTTAAAATATAAGAGGAGCTTTGGAACCATCTGAAGTTTCCAGACAATCTTCTAATGCAGCCCCATATATAATGGATTACAGTAACCTAATTTGGATGTGATCAGAACATAGCTAACTGTGAACAAATCTCTTATCTAAAAGATGGTTAAAGGCGCTACAAGCCACAGAAGAGAACAGAGCCTTAGTCTGTAGACACAGATATAATACACCAAAGATGTACACTTACTGTTTCACGGGGTGTACAGTTCCTTTCACCCAACCAGTCCAAATGGATACTATAACTGACAGTAGTCAAAGTCCCTGAGTCATCCATAAGGGAGATAAACGTTCAACTCCCTAAAGCAACCCAGAAGCCAAATTTAAGTGGGTCCAGCTAATCCACCTCATCCATGAAAGCCTGAAGTTGTACAGCCATCACATGTTCAAATGACTTGCCCTAGGGTTGCCAAATCTTCTTCCCCCCGCGGCGGGGGAGCGTCGCCACGGTCCAGGAGTCGTCCTGATGTGCGCGCGAATCTGATGCCCTGGCCCTGGTTGTTGACAGCCTGGCCTCCTTAAGACTTGGGAGGGTCAGCCGGTTCTGGGCCCCTGAACACCATGCTCTCTGGGGAATATCTGGGGAAAGGCGGTCCTTCAGATATGTAGGCCCCTGGCCGTAAAGGGCTTTAAAGGTACTAAGCACCTTGAAACGAATTTGGTATGCTATCAGCAGCCAGTGCAGTGCCTTTAGCACAGGCTGGATGTGCTCCTGAATTGGGAGCCCAATCAGTAGCCTGACGGTGGCATTTTGTACCAGCTCCAGCTTCCGGATAAGAGACAAGGGCAGCCCCATGTAGAGAGCATTACAGTAGTCCAGTCTCAAGGTGACTACTGGATGGATCACTGTTGCCAAGTCATTGCGTCTGAGGAAGGGAACCAACTGCCTGATTAACCGGAGATGATAAAAGGCTGATTTGGCAGTGGCTGCTACCTGGGCCTCCATCATTAAGGAAGCATCCAGGAGCACTCCCAAACTCCTAACCTTGAGCATTGTCACCAAAGCCGCCCCATTGAAGGTCGAAAGTGGGATCCGTATAATTATGGAGAATAAGGCTGCATTCAGACAGGCAGTTAGATCCATTGCCATTGCTGTTCCCTAACAGATTTAAAGTGCACAATCAGACCACAACATCTGTCTGTCGTGCCCCAGTCGTCTGAGTCCGATTCTCCCCCTTTGAGTGCTTTCCAGTCTTACATAAGAGAATGTAGTTATCAGCTCTATATTTTATGCTCATTCTTACATTTTTTTCCTCTTAGTCTATTTTATCTCATTATCTGTTGACAAAAAATGCAGTGTCATAATTTTTCATATTACAAAGGCATCACATGGCCAAACTAATTCTGCTTACCTGCTCATTGATGAAAATTATAGCACAATAATGTTTTCCCATATTAAAAGGCAGATAATGAAGATCAAGGCTTGTAGAAATTTCTGCTTCCAGGTAAACAACATTCACTGGACTAAAGAACTCTTGTAAACAACAGGATTTATTAGCTGCCAGAAAATAATAAAGAAGTTTATATACCGTAGAGGAGGATTATTCATTTTAAATATAATTGTAAGATAATCAGGTTGCTCAGACAAAATCTGAACAAAAGGATACACAGAGGAAAAAGATCCCTCAGGATATTTTTGAAGTTGATCTAAGACTGAGCCAAATTATATGATAGGTTTTGAAATAGTACTTTGAATACAGAAAACTAATATTCATAGCTCTTCTTTTCCATCATCCGTACCACCACTCCCCCTCACTATTATATTACAACTCAGCTATATATTACAACTATATTACATTACAACTCGACCTTAATGGGGTTGAAGCAACAATAGCAGAAGCAGTCTATCATCAAAGTGATTGGCCCTTGTTTGAATGACAAAAGCCAGAAAACCAGGACAACCACTCTCTACCTACTTGGGATTCTCCAGTTATTTCATTTATATTTTTATTTTATTATTTTAAATTATAGCCCGCCCTCCCCGCAAGCGGGCTCAGGACAGCTCACAAATGGGGCACATGCCAATACATAAAACAGGTTAAAACAGGATAAAAACAGTCATTATAATATTACAAAACTATAAAGTACTCTAGATGTTTCAGATCAGTCTTCAATAAAAAGATGGCATCATGAAAATGGTACTCCCAAATCAGTGATGTCCATGAAGCATTTGTAGAATTTGCAGAAAAACATGCATTTGTAAATTAACAAAAGGGGGAGAAGACAAAAAACACCAGATGGAGACAAAATATGCTCCAAAAGAGTTGGATTATTGAGAATAACTGAGTGTCAGTTAAGCATAAAAGGCGTGTGTGGATAGTTAACCTGGCCAAGCTCCCAAAAGTTTATAGAATCCCGGATGCAAAGAAGCTTGTCACCCTCCCTCTAACAATAAACTTGTTATTAGTAATCTAAAAGCAGAAAAACTAAGTCACTCACAGAGAAGGTAAGCAGATCTCCTCAGGGAACCCCAGGTATGCATAAAAATATTACTTTATAAATTCTCCTAAAGGGCAGGAACCTTAACTATGGCCTGATGAGGACTGAATATATGTCAGGAGCGATGGAATGTTGAAAGTCAGTTTAAAAGGAGGAAGGAGTGATGCACCTGCTCAAGCCACTGAGGAACTGTTGGGGTGGGAGTTTTTTCCCACCTTCTCTGACTTTTGGCAGGCCCCCAACTTGTAATACTGATTAATCAATATTTCTAAAATTATTTAACAGTCATAGAAATTTTGCATGTGGCCAAAAAATTAATAAAATAACTTGTGAAATCAGAAAGAAACATAACTGACGAAAGTACTTACAGGAATCGGAGTTATCCTGCTGTCTGTAAGATTCTTCAATGCCTATCACATTACATGTACTCTTCAGTATGCCAGTTTCACAACTAACACAAAGGGGGAAAGTTGATACATTCAAATGACTCACAATTTGACTCATTTCTCTAACATAATGTAGTAGTATAATCCAGAATGCTGAGACAATACGTAAGATTACATAGACTTGGAATTATACATGAAAATAAATTATGAAGTGAACTACAGAGGATATTTTTCTACACGAAAATTTCATTATATAATTTTTTGAAAATACATTATGCATATTGCTTCAAAAACCAGATCCACAGATAGCATTGAAAGGAGTATGCTAAACACACAGGAAACAGTATACATGTGATTATTTTATTTAAAGTAATAATTGTCTTTGGCTCTATACCATTCTCATAATACCTTAACAAGACCACTGTATTAACCAAACTTTGATAAGTCTGCAGGATGTGCTGACAATATGCACTCGCTCCTCCCTAAAATACTTTTCTTCTGGGTCTAAACTGGTTGCCTAAATCTCCAGCCCCATAATGCTGAAGGTGATACAGTTCTATTTCTCTATCCTTGTATTTTGCCTGAATCAACTGACCTCAACTCAAGCTGAACTTCTATCCATGTTTTCTCCTTTTGCCTATAAGTATATTAAATTGCTTTCCTTTTATATTCAACTAGCAGTAAAGCCCGTTGTGAAAGCAATACAACGAGATCTAGAAAGAGGCTCTGGGGCAGTGCTCTGGCTTTGGGCAAACAGTGTCAGTTTGCTGTGTTTATCATACCAAAGGAAGCAACCCATTGCCAGTTGTGGGGAGGGTTGCCAACTTCCAGGTGGTAGTTGGAGATCTCCTAAATTACAACTTATCTCCAGATTACAGAGATGGGTTCCCATGGAGAAAATAGCTGTTTTGGAGCGTAGTCTCTATGGAATTATACCCTGCAGAAGTCCCTCTGCTCCCCAAAGCATTCTCCTCCCAGGCTCCACCCCCAAAATGTCCAGGAATTTTTCAACCTGGAGCTGACAAGCCTACATCTGAGTGTATTTGGGTGAGCGCTACCATCTGTCCTCTCCAGCTGGTGGCGGCCTTGCCCCCCCCCCAATTCCAGGAGTGCTTCCAGCTCCTTCCCCTATATCCAAAAGTTAATATTTCCCTTAGGTCAACACAACTCCAGTCATCATATGTTTGGAGGTTTCATGACAAACATCCCTCCTATGATGTATCCCTGCAGATGCAAAAGTAATGCCTTTGGGGTCTTCTGAAACAGCCCGGCTCCAAGGAGGAGGAGAAAAGTTAGGATCAGCTCTTAGTTTTAGGAAAGAGATGCTGTCTGGTTTCTGTTTCCAAAGAAAGCAGAGGGTTTGCAACATTGCCTGTCCCAGAAAAACAAGCAAGTTTGTGTCCATGGCCATCCTAAGGGCACACAGCTCCAATATGTTTGCACCAGATGAACACAGCACTTTGCTAACTAGGCAGATACCTGTCAGGGAATGATCTAAAGCTCCCCCCCCCTTTTGGTGTTTTCGGAGGGATTCCATTTAAGGTGATTTGAATTTTTGTCTTCAAGACGGGAGAAGCTGACTTCCGGTTGATGGCGGCACGCTAGGCAGACGCATCTCCCAGACCTCCTGGGGATGCGGTTTGTGCACGGCGGGAAGGAGGGGATCGCTGGCCCATTACCCCCCCCAGGGAGCCTAGCGGAAGGCTCCTAGCCAGAGGACTTATGAGGAGTCGCCTCTTCACCTACGCGTTGTGGGTGAATTGAGGCGCTCCTCCATCCCAATGGTCCTTCCTGCGCAGTGCCTGAATGGGACCTAGTGACGCTGACCGGGGCAAGCGTAGGAGATCAAGCGGACGAAATGATGTAAAGCGGGGTCGGAAGACCAGATATGAATGTGAGTCGGACTGAGCGAAACGACGGTTAAAGAGAAAAATAAAGCTTCCTACCCCATGTTGAAAAACGGAAAGTGAAGCGGGCGGGGGAGGGACGCCTCCTTACCACATGACGTTTTGAGCGAATCGGGGGGGGGGAGGAAGAGAAGGCATGCAGAACTGTTAAGAAATACTTACCAAGGCGAGTTCAGGCGTTTGAGCGCATATTCAGAGACTTTCAAAATATTTTCCAAAGTAAACAATTGAAAAAGATGGCGGGGAAGAGGACGGAGAAAGAGAAACTCTCAAAATCAAAACTAACGGAGAGCCCTAAACCGGAAGGAACCAACGAGCTGGCAAAGACTTTGGCAGAATCCATACGCCCTCTACTGGACCAAATGAGTAACCTCAAGGATCAGATGTTGAAAATGACTCAGTGCATCACCACACAGCAGACACAGATAACCGAGACACTTAAAATGATGAATGAAACGGCTGAAAAGGTGAAAGAAGTGGACGTCACTGCACAAAAGGTGAAAAGGAAAGTTCAAACGCTGGAAAAGAAGCAAGTTTCTATGGAAGATCAACTGCTCCAATTACAAATGGAAAAGGCCAATATGATTCTTCGCTTCCAGGGCTTGCCAGAGACAAAGGGAGAGAATCTTAAGGAACTCATGAGTGAAGTATTGGCCCCAGTGACAGATATGAAGGTGGAACTCTTGTTAAACAAAATGGATGTGGCCTATAGGTCATATTCAGGATATATAAAGAAAAATAATCTGCCTGGGGAAATTGTGGTAAGATTCTCGAAGAGGCATGTGAGGGATACAATCCTGAAAGCAGTATCTGGAGCACCCCTGAAAGTGGGAGAGAATACCATCAGAATGTTAAAAGACATTCCATTTGAAATAAGACAAAGGAGAAAGAAATATAAAGAATTAATTCTTTTTCTACAGACAAATGCAATTGGATATAGATGGTTAACTCCAGAAGGCATAATCTTCAAAATCAAGAATAAAAAAGAAAAGATTGACTCTGTCCAGAAAGCACGGGAATTTTTAAGAGTCCAGATGGGAGGGCCAGGGAAGGAAGGAGAAAAAGGGGAGGACAGTAAGTCCAATGGCGAGCTGGACTCAGAATCCTCCGGGGAGGAGTCTCTATCAGAGAAAGGGGTGGCAGCCCCTAAAAGTCCTTATAAGCTTCGGAAGAGACTAGGCAAGGAGAAGTAAAGGCTGAAGGACTCTGAATTGTGCCTTTAAAAAATGTTGAAGTGAGTTGCTTTGGGGTGTTTCTGTATGACAGTTAAACATAAGATTTGAAAAAGATAATGTTAAACTTAACTCAGTTGATAGTAAGATTAACGGGATTAAGACAAAATGTTAAAATGGTGGGACAATCTCCTCTCTTGGGTTTCTAGTCAGTAGTGGGTATCTTTCTTTATCCTATAAATGTAGTTCCCCCTCCCATTTTCTGTTGTAGTTTGTAGTGTTATTAAAAATGCAATAAAAAATCCCCTCCGGGGGCTTAAAAAAAAAAAGACAAGAGAAGCTAGCCAGCACCAGGACACAACTCAGTTGATGCCACTTTGGGATTATATAATGCCCTACTGAACAAAAGCATTACATGATTGAGGTTTATAAGATTATGCATGGGAAAGAGCAGGTAGAGAAAGAGGTACTTTTCTCCCTTTCTCACAATACAAGAACCCGTGGGCACTCCATGAAATTGCTGAGCGGTCGGGTTAGAACGGATAAAAGGAAGTACTTCTTCACCCAAAGAGTGATTAACACTTGGAATTCACTGCCACAGGAAGTGGTGGCAGCTACAAGCATGGACGGCTTCAAAAGGGAATTAGATAAGCATATGGAGCAGAGGTCCATCAGTGGTATAGATAGGGACTCTGGGGCAAGTGATGCTCTGTCATCTTGGTGCTTGGGGGGGGGTCAACAGTGGGAGGGCTTCTAATGTCCTGGCCCCACTGGTGGACCTCCTGATGGCACTGGTATTTCTGGCCACTGTGGGATACAGAGTGTTGGACTGGATGGGCCTTTGGCCTGATCCAACATTGGCATCTCTTATGTTCTTATGTTCTTATTAATTTCTGTATTTCTTTTTTAAAAGTTCATGAGGGAAAAGTAAAAGTCTCTGGGTGACAGCTACGAAGGAAAAGTCAAAAGAAAAGACAACTGGATCCTGGTCATGATGGTTCAATTTAGAATACATTTACAAGACTAACTTTAAATTCCATTGAATATTCACCCTTCCACAATTTACAGAAAACACCCTCAGTACATCCATCCTTGTAAGAGTGCAATACTACACCCATTCACATACTTCAAAATGCCCTGCTTGAAATCCACATTAAAATTTATTGCCTAATAGCAGAAAGAAAGCCAAAGCAAACATAAAAATGAAGGGAGAGGCATGGGAATTTCCGACTTCATATATAAAATGCAGTTTCAGACTGGAAGATAACCTTTTTTTAAAATTTAAAATATTTCTATGCCACCTTTCCACCCAGAAAATTCCATTCTGCCACTCAATGGAAGAACGGAAGGTTTCTTTCACTTACCGTGAAGCTTCCTTTCTCGGTGGTTCAGGAGTGGGACAGTCCTCACGTCTGGGATAAGCTCCTCCTTCCTTTGCAGGGTTGGCTCTGAGCTTTGATCCAGGTGAGGAGGGGCTTATCCCCTGGAGGTTTCCCCAGTCGTCCTTGAGCCCCGTACTCCTGCCAGAAAGGCACTAGAAGGAAAAACTTCTCCCCAAAACTCGGAGAGACTCGCATAACTGACAAACTGAACACAAACCATTAACATTAGGTCCCTCTCTGACATACCCAGAGAGGGTACACTGAGACGGGATGCTTCAAGAACTCCTCTGTAAACTGGAAGTGAGCCCAAAAACCGGGTGGGCAGGACTGTCCCACTCCTGAACCATCGAGAACGGAAGCTTCATGGTAAGTGAAAGAAACCTTCCGTTCTCCAGTGGTTCAGCTCGTGGGACAGTCCTCATGTCTTGGACATAGAAGAGCATTGTGCCTCATGGGAGGGAAGTTGCTTCCCGTTTATAGAGTGTTGAAGCACCCTACAGCCAAAGGCCGCCTCTGCTGATGCTGTCTTATCCACTCTATAGTGCTAAGTAAAAGAGTGAATGGATTTGGCCACCCTACAAATACTCTCCTGTGAGGTCCATGTTCCACCTCAGGTGGCAACCCTCCGGTTGCCGTTGTTGCTCACCAGGTTCTGTTTGAGGAAGCGTCCTGGGGGAGGGGTGAGACAAGAAGAAAGGAGGCAAAAGGAAACCTCAGACAGGCAGGGGATCAGGTTAGGTTCACTTGGGATATCCCTCTGTCTGCACAGACCAAACCTTCAGCCAGTCAGGCTATGGGGATGTGGGTCTCTCTGAGCTTCAGGTACTTTCCCCAGTCTCATCTGTGTCTCGTCCTCCTCGATCTCCAGCCTCTCTTTCCTCTTATACCCAGGCCCCACTCCCAGCACCCTCTCTTGTAACAGCCCCGTCCTTCCCTGCTTAGCCCCGCCCCTCTTTATAACATTTCATGCTGACTGCTCTGGCAGGGCGGCTCCTCCTTCCTGCTGTCGATCGCTGTGTGCGGAGGCTGCTTTCTGCTCTGCAGGCTGAATTCCACTCCTCCCACCCTCGTCTCCTCTTTCTGTTTCATTTCCTCTTTGTGGTCCTCTGGTATGTCTTCTTGCCTGACCCCTGAGCTCTGTGCAGCTTCTTTCTTCCTCCCGTGGCTGCAACTCCTGTCGAACTGCCTCCGCATTTGAGGCTGACAGTCTGCCTTCCCTTTTTGGTGAGTTAGCCTGTTTGGGGTTGTTCCCGGCCAGTCCCGGGAGGGTGGGAGGTGGCTGACCGGGACATCTCCAGAGTAGGGAATGACCGCTAGGCCACCATCGCCCCCTGAAGAGAGTGAGCCACAATCCCATTGGGAGGATCTACACCTTTAGCCTTGTAGGCCAGAATGATACAACCCTTAATCCAGCTACTGAGAGTAGTGGAAGAAACCTGTTCCCCCTGGCTGGATTTCCTAAAGGACACGAAGAGTGCCTCTGATTTTCTCCACTCCTTAGTCCTGTCGATATAGTAACTCCGAGCTCTCCTGACATCAAAACAATGCCATTCCCTCTCCTTCTCGTGTTTGGGGTTTGGACAAAAATACGGAAGTACCACCTCCTCTGCCCTGTGTAACACCAAATTTACCTTTGGTATAAAGGCAGGGTCTAAATGAAGGACAAACTTGTCCCTATGAAAGACACACAACTCTCTATTGACGGACAGGGCCGGACCTCAATTCCGTCAGTCTACATGCTGAAGTAATTCCTACCAAAAACGGGGACTTAAAGGTCAACTCTTTGATTGGGCAAAAGGCCATTGGTTCAAAAGGGTGTTTGCAAAGGGCCCTTAAGACAGTAATCAGATTCCAGGTGGGAAATGTGTGCACTTACGGAGGGTTCAATAGTGAAGCCCCTTTTAGGAACCTCTTAACGTGGGCAGGGTGAAGGAGTGATTTTCCGTGTCTGACCCCCTGAACAGCTGAAATAGCTGACATCTGTCTCCTCAGCGTGCTGGTACTGAGCCCCTTATTTAGGCCATATTGCAGGAACTGCAGAACTGCCCTAACTGAGGCCGTAAAGGGTTCTATCTCCTGACCTACAAACCAAGAGTGGAACACTTGTCAGGTAGCATTGTAAGATCTATTGGTGGATGACTTCCTAGACGCTAGCATGGTAGACACTACCTTCTCGGGGTAGCCCACCCCCACTAACACTTCCGCTCAATCTCCACGCTGTGAGTCTGAGCATCTCTGGGCATGGGTGCAATGTCAGCCCTTGAGTCAGCAGGTCTTCCCTCACAGGAAGATGTCATGGGTCCTGTATTGATAGACTCTGGAGGTCCTGAAACCACACTCTCCTTGGCCAAAATGGGGTTATCATCACCACCACCACCCTCTGTTGTCGAATCTTTTGAATGACTCTGTGCACGATTGCACAGGTGGAAACACGTAATGAAGGCCTGGTGGCCAATCACAACTTAAGGCGTCAGTTTCGTTGGCCTGGGAGTGTCTCAGTCTGGAGAAGAACTCTGGTACTTGACGATTGTACTCCGTTGTGAACAAGTCCATTCCTACTTCCCCGAATTTGTCGCATATCTGAGTGAATACTTCCCTGTTCAGTGACCACTCTGACTGGTCCAGCCGTCTTCTGCTGAGCCAGTCCGCCAGGCCGTTGTCTTCACCTGCCACGTGTATCGCTTTCATGACAACAAATGGCTTTCCGCCCAGGTCATCATTATGGACGCTTTGCAATGTAGAAACCTTACTCGTGTTCCTCCTTGCCGATTCACATAAGCCTTCAACATCATGTTTTCCATTTCGACAAGGACATACTGACCTGTTAGATGCTTGCTGAGGCTCAAGAACCCCAAGTGAATTGCCCTGAGCTCCAGGAAGTTTATACTCTCTTGTGTCTCTTCTGCTGATCACTCTCCTTGTGCCATCCGACCCCTCGAGTGCGCTCCCCATCTCGACAGGCTGTCGTCCATCATCATAATCACTCTTGGGGGATCTCAAAGAGGTGACCCATGCTTGAATCGGTTCGTAGCTAGCCATCAAGATAACTGCTGTAGTATCTCCGGAGGAACCTGTAGTAGCTTGTACCTCTTGCATGCATGCAATTGCTTCCAGGTGGGGAAGTAGGAATCTCTGCAGGAGTCTGGCATGAAAACGGGCCCTCTGTATGCTCTCTTGGCAAGAAACCAGTATTCCCAGAAGTTTGGCCAGTGTCAACAGCTCTGAACTGGGTGACTTCAACACTTCTGTCAACAGAGATCAGATTCTCATTTCCCTGTCCTGAGACAGAAAAGCCCGATCCTGTACAGTGTCTATCTCTATACCTAGGTGCAGCAGTCTTTGAGAAGGCTGGAGGTGACTCTTTTCTACGTTGACCACAAAACCGTGTTCTCTCAGGGTAATTACTGTTAGCTGCGAGGCACTCACACTCTCCTGGAATGACAGCGCTGTTATTAAAATGTCGTCTAGCTATGGGAACAGGTGGACACTTTTCAGCCTGAGGTGTGCTACTAGGGTCACTAACACTTTTGTGAACACCCTCGGTGAGGATTTCAGCCCGAATGGAAGAGCCTGGTATTAGAAGTGCTGATTGGCACAGACAAATCATAGGAATTTTCACTGTAAGTGGTGGATTGAAATGTGAAGATATGCCTCCGCCAGATCGATTGACATCAGAAACTCCCCTTTCTGTAACGTTGCCAGGATGGATTTGGGAGTTTCCATCCTGAACTTCCTGTCCCGTATATGCCTGTTGAGCCATTTGAGATCTAATATGGCCTGGGTGTCTCCATTTTTCTTTGGCATTGTAAAAAACACTGAGCAAACGCCCTGTCCCAGCTGGGAGGGTGGAACTCTCTCTATGGCCCTGATTTCTAGGGGGTGTTTTATGGCCTCCTTGGTTTGGAGATGTTTTAGACGGTTGCGATTCTTTGGAATCTCAACAAAATGCTGTCGTGGAAAGGTGGAGAACTCCAGTTTGTATCCCTGTGTCACGATCTCGATGACCCACTGATCTGTCACGGAGTCTCAGTCCCTTAATAGGGACCACATGGGGAGAGGCTCCAATATGGCTGCTGCCATTTTTCCCACCACCAATTCCGTGCCATTTTTCACCCTTTGGAGGAAGCATATATACTCTCCTGCCTCCCAGGTACCTGCCCCCCATTTGCCAAGGAAAAAAGGGGGTCCCTGGCCAGCTGCCACCTGGCTGTAGCTATCACCCCCCCCTTTCGGCTTCTTCAGCCCTAGGGAAGGGGGCCTGAAAAGCCTGCGCTCCCCCGTTCCATCTTGCCGCGCTCCCTTCCCACAATACATTGTTACTTGGGAGTAAGGAAGCCCGTGGGTGGTTCAGGGTCTTACTGTGATTCAGTAGGCAAGAAGAATCTCTCCCGGCCTCTGCGCCAGTCTTGAGAGCTTTTGCGGCCTGATGGGGAAGTACCAAGTCCGCGGCTGCTGCCCTCTGCCATGTCACAGACTCCTTCGCACTCCCGTAAGGCTCCGGGAGCAGGCCCTCTGCCCTTGGGCAGGTAAGGCTGGTGGGGGTCTTTCAGGGGCCGTCTGAGCACCATGGCTGCCAGGGACCACCCAGCACCGACACGTTCCTTCGCACGCTGCTGCTTTGTGTCCTCCTGGTGCAGCAGCTTGCCTTCTTCTTTCTTCCTTCTTCTGTTCTTCTGTGCTTCTTTACTTCTTTCTTCTGCTGGCTGCGCTCTGCAGTGCTGCTCGAGCACATCCTGCTGCAGGCAGGGCCGGCAAGAACTGAGGAAGTCTCCAGGGGATAAGGCCCTCCCTGCCTGGATCAAAGCTCAGAGCCGACCCTGCAAAGGAAGGAGGAGTTTATCCCAGAAGTGAAGACTGTCCCACGAGCTGAACCACTGGAGAATGGAACTCTCCTGCCTACCCCCTCCAACTGCAGCCCAGTAATCTCCACAAAACATTTGCCATGGAGGACAGGAGACCCTGAGGAATTACATGAAGGGGGCCTGAAGAGTAAAATAATGTAATTAGTAATGTTGGATTCTAAACATGCTACCTTAACTGAAGCTTGCAAGTCTACAAAGCAGTACCAAAGCAGAGAAAATGAAACAGGTTAAATGCCAGCCATTTAATCCTTCCCAGGCAATTTCCCCCCCTTTCTCCCAGCTGTGGCTTACCAGTCCGGGAGAAAGGGGGAACTGAATTCGCTGGACCGGTTCAGTTTGGGTGCAGGCCTTTTGGCTCAGTTCGGGGGCCACCCTGAACCAATCTGGATTTTTTTTAGGTTCATGCCCATTCCTAAATGAAACATTTAAACATTTATATTCATTTAAAAAGGCATCTTGTACAGAACACCTGTCTAAATATTGAAGTTACTATCAAAGTTTACTCCCTGATATTTTCTGGTTGACTCTGCCCCTTGAGGCAGCCATTTTGTGGTTGTGCCTACCACCTTGTCTTGGAATTCCAAAGGTGTCCACAAACTCAAAAAAGTGGGGACTTCTGAACTGCAATGTCCTCATGTTTCATGTAAAGCTTCCAGTCAGAACCTTCTGGTAGAACATGAGTTCTTAAAATGGGAAGTGCCAAAATTGTTTCTCTTGGCATTCTGTGCCTTTATTTTGCAAACCTATAAAGCTGTCTGAATGTTGCATATTTACATGCATATAACAGTTGTAGTGGTCTGAGAATTATAGCTTCATTCTTAACATCAATATATATTAAGTAGAATTTTATAGTGTCTTCAGTATCACAAAATGTTCCTACCATGTTAATGGGAGTTAAGCAAGGGCAGTTATGTTTACTGAAAAGACAGTTATTGCAAGAACAGTTAAGAGTTATTGATATTGAAGTATATCCCAAGGAATTACTCTAACTCATTTCAGTTCAAAACTAGAGTTCAGTTTTATCACCATAAATATAAAAGCCAGTTTCTCATAATGACAAACGTTGATGATCACACAATTACTACATACAATAGTAAGCAATTATTGTTTTTGGATTATTTTCATTCAAAATAAATCATTATTTTAGAATAGAAAAGCAAGCTAACTTTAAATGAAAGTGAGTTACATAACTGTTCAGATTAGATTATCTCTAAAATATATTTTAGCTAGGGTTACCAGATGTCCTCCTTTTTTGTGTGTCCATCCTCTTTTGGACTCTTTAAAAAAAAACTGATGAAAATGTCCTCTTGGGTTTGGAAGGTTAGGAATATGCCTAGTTAGTAGGAATTATCACAGCATAAATAGTAGGGGCATTTAATCTGTCATAGTGACCACTTGTTTGAAATAGTCAGTTGTGAAATATGTCCTCTTTTTTGCTTTTCAAAATATGATAACCCTAATTTTAGCAGACCTATTTAACAACACATCTCTCCAATCAGCACTGGACCACAAAATAAAGAAAGGCATTGGGTTGGATATACAGGAACTACCATCTTTCAAAGCACTGATATATCACAAAGTTATTTATTTTACAAATAATAGACAATTACCAGGGAAGTTCAATAATGAAAACTAACTATGTGACCTAAACAGGCTTACTCAGAAGGAAGTTACATTTAGTTCAAAGAACTTGCACCCGTATCAAAGTACAATTTTGCATATAGTTAGGCTGTAGGACTCCCACAGAAGTCAATACCAATTCATACTGTTTTTGTCATTCCAAAAGAAGTAGAAATTATCACTATAAGTTATATTAAACCTTGGTTTCTTCAGAGATGGCGTGCTATGGCAATTAGCGTCACTGACTCTTCCTTCTGCTATCTTCTCCTGTCTTTTCCCTTCATGTTTCAATACAGATGCAACATTTTTACAGCACAGAACTTATTTCAGTAGAGTAGAGGTGTCAAACTCATTTGTTATGAGGGTTGGATCTGACATAAATGTTACTTTGTCGGGACAGGCCACGTGTGCCATTAAATATAATGCCAGGTACTGGAGATGCAAACTTTACAAATGACTAAAAATACAAGAAGAAGCCTCTTGGTGAAATGCATAGGGAATTTTAACTGAATAATAAAATATAATTGTACCTGATTTTGCACCATCGGCCTTGGTCTTATTTTTTATCTCATATTACTCAAAATACAAAACAAAAGCAAATGATTCCTAGGAGTGAAAGCAATTGATTTACTAGGAAAGACTATGTAAGACTTTTTTTCCATGTTATACAATGGGGGGGGGGCTATCTTACATTTCCATACAAATTAATTACTTTTTGTACATACAGAACTTTTAGGAGACAAGTCATCTTCCTTGCAAGTAAATAAGGTAGTTTTTCAGCACCCCCCGTACACCCAGCCCCAGTAGCAGGATATTATAGCATTGGGAAAAGTGCAGAAAAGGGCAACTAGAATGATAAAAGGGTTGGAACACTTTCCCTATGAATAATGGTTAAAGCACTTGGGGCTCTTTAGCTTGGAGAAACGATGACTGAGGGGTGACATGATTGAGGTTTATAAGATTATGCATGGGAAAGAGCAGGTAGAGAAAGAGGTACTTTTCTCCCTTTCTCACAATACAAGAACTCGTGGGCACTCCATGAAATTGCTGAGCGGTTGGGTTAGAATGGATAAAAGGAAGAACTTCTTCACCCAAAGAGTGATTAACACATGGAATTCACTGCCACAGGAGGTGGCGGCGGCTACAAGCATGGACGGCTTCAAGAGGGAACTGGATAAACATATGGAGCAGAGAGGTCCATCAGTGGCTATTAGACATAAGGCATAGATAGGAACTCTCAGTCTGGGGCAAGTGACATACTGTATTCTTGGTGCTTGTGGGGTGGGGGAAACAGTGGGAGGGCTTCTAGTTTCCTGGCCCCACTGGTGGACCTCCTGATGGAACCTGGTATTTTTGGCCACTGTGTGACAGAGTGTTGGACTGGATGGGCCATTAGCCTAATCCAACATTGACTTCTCTTATGTTCTTATGAGCACAGCTACAATGTGTCTCTCACTCTTTGTTTCCTCTCTTCCCCTGTCCTATGTCTGAGGATCTCAAGGAGGCACACCAGACTTCCCCCTCCATCACTCCATCCTCACCAATAACAACAACCCTGTGAGATGGTCCAGGATGAGCGACCAGCCCTGGGTGACCCAGATGGCAGGGTCCTGGCTCAGGAGGAGGGAAGTCTGAACCTGGCTCTCCCAGATACCCCCCCTGCCAGCTCTCATCTCTTCTGCATTTCCCACAAAAGTGCCCTGATGGAGTGGTTATTTCTGGAACCTCCAAGGGGTGCTTTTTGTACTCCCACAATCTCTTTTCCTTCATGAGCTGAGAACAGGTGTGGGGGAGAAGGAAGGTTGCCTCTCCCATCCTCCCTAACACTCACTTTGCCTCCCAGCTGCTTGCTGAGCTGCAGTTGGAGGAAGTCAAGAGGGGAAAAAACACCACACCTCCTCTTCCTCTGCCTTCACTGCCATCCCCCCCCCCATGCTATTTTACCTCAGCCTCATAGTCCTGCTCCCTAGCAATTTCCTTTCTATTTCTTGACAGCTTCGACCACACACACTTCACTGTGTATGCCTGCTCCCTCCCCACAAGCAGCCTGCTGCCTGCCCAGCCTTGCACCAGTTGTTTACAGGTCAGATAAGAGCCCTAGATGGGCCAGTTCTGACCCCCAGGCCATATGTTTGACACCCCTGCATAGGGATATACATGAGAAAATGGCTTCAGAAGAATGTAAATCCCATATAGAAGAAGAAGTCAAAACTAGAGTCTTGGTTGTGGACATTTGCTCAAAAATCCAAAGTTATTCTCCATTCTGGTGTAATGTTTTCAATTGAAATGATCTCCATGAAGAAAAACATTCAGCACAATCCTATGCAGATCTACTGCAGTCTAAATAATGAGTTCAGATTGGAGTAACTCTGCACAGCATTACACTGTTCATTTCTGTTATAGGTAATATATACCAGAAGGGCTTCCACCTTTACACAGAGGGGAACTAAACTGAGCCTACTTTCTGAAAGTGAGGTAGAGGGTGTAATGCATATGCACAAACATATGCATTCACACTACAGCATTCTCTCTCTCTCTCTCTCTCTCTCTCTCTCTCTCTCTCTCTCTCTCTCTCTCTCTCTCTCTTTCTCTCTCTCTCCCCCCTTGGCAGCAGATCTTAATTCTAGACTTCCAATATTGCTAGACTTACCAGGTGCCCACTAAAGGTGGGCAAACTCCTGGTAATTGTACCAATGCCCACCTACACTCATCTGGTTAATAGGTGGGTTGTCAAAATGGGGGGGAGGATCATTGTCATTGTGTGATGATGTCACTTCCAGTGTGGCTCAGAAGAGCTGGCATCACAACAGGATGACGCTCTAGCGCTCACCCAGAAACTTCCCCAGAGGTTGGGGGCAAGTGCTAGAGCATTGTCCCAATGCGATGCCAGAGCTTTTGGGTTGCCCCAAAAATGATGTCATCATGCAGCAGCAAAGATTGTCCCCCTTGCAGTAAGTACCTGCTTCCCCCCATATCCAGCCAGTTGCCAGGCCGAGAAATATATACAAAATTACAGATCATGGAAATAATAGTCAATAAGTTTGAAAATTTACCTTTTTATTTTACCTTGCTTTATCTGGCTGACTTGATTTAACTGCTCAGGCTCAGTTATGCAGCTTGTTGATTCAACTAAAATGACACTACAAAGTGTTGCAAATTAGTAAAAAAAATTCATTGTGTAGTAAAAATTTAAGAAATAAACCAGGAACATAAATAATTTATTTAAATTTTCTGAAATTAGAGATATCATCCCCATCCTCAGAATAAATAATTTCCATAAAAAACCGTCTTTTTTTTTGGTATTATGTATTTATTGCTCAAATCTTTAATTGGCAGTTACCTGAAGAACACATATATTTATTCAACAAAAATATTAAAAATGGGCAACAGTGTTTAACAGCCTGAAATCTTAAATCTGAGGTTTCAGTCTCTCAAAGGTAAATAAAAGAAAGTCTACAGACAAAAAATAGGGCACAAACAAAAGTGAACACTAGGTGCCCAAAGGGATGAGTTTGGTGGGAGAAAAGCAAATGGAAATATTTAATCAATTCATATTTTGGCAGTATGAAATCACAGAAAACAAGTGAGAATTCAAAGGTATGTAAATAAAAACTATAAAATATATGCAAGAAGTCCCAGAAGCAATTTGTTTGTAGAGCAGGGCATTTTTTCAGTCATTCTGGTAAATTAATTTTTAAAACAGAACAGAAAATTATGGGAATTAGTATTATTGGTCTATTGGCTATCTCGCAAATAATTTTATCCAATTGCATACCTGAATGGACCACTAGTTTTGAAAGGACTCTTAACTTGCAGAATAACTGTGTTCAGTTCATAACATGGAGATCTGCATTTTAATAAACCCTGAAAGTAAAAAAGGGGGGATCAGTCTGCAGAAATTCACAATGTATAGCTTTGGGGGTTTTATTGTTGTTTTGAAGTATTTGCTTCTTTCTAAAACCAAGGAAGGAAGGAAGGAAGGAAGGAAGGAAGGAAGGAAGGAAGGAAGGAAG